GGAAAAGGAGCAGCAGACTGATTCTGATATCACCGCCCGGATCAGAAATTGTTAATTTTACTGATTCTAGAAGCTTTTGCAAGTTTTTTTCAAGGAGCACTGGAATGTGATTTGATCGCAGTTTGTTGGAAAAGGATGAAGTTGAGCATTGAACCGCGTTTACTTTGTGCGTTTAATTTGTTTTCAGCTTCTGATAACTTTTCGAACATCATTTCATATCCTGTTTGATCGCATCTAATACTGCTTCGATTTTTGCTAATTTTTGTTTGATTATCTGAAATAGTCTTTTTACTGCAGGCATCTTTTTTGGATTAGATGTTATATATTTCCCGGCTTTTTCAAGATTCTGCTCAATTTTTATTACGTAACTGTTTTTGGTCCTTTAAGTTTGCCCAAATGTTTTGATCTCTGTTTCCATGTTTTTTGCTGTTTTTAATATATTAATAATCACTGATACTAATTGTTATTGTTAACGACATCGTTTTTGTTAAGTAATTTGTCCTTAAGTCTTGTTATAAAGGTCCGTAAGTAAACTTTTTGTTGTTCTTCTTCGTAAATGATTTTTTTGTTGAGATCGTTACAGAGAACCGTTGCTCGATCTAATTCAATCTCGATTTTTTTCACGTCGTTTATCGCTTTCACTAAATTCTGACTTTCACGCTTCTTTTCTTCTAAGTAATAATAATATTATCTATGCATTTCATAAGAAATATCATCATTATTTTCATGATATTAACGTTCATCTTAACGAATGACGGTATATGGCTGCTGGTTCGGAAAAACTACACCAAGGAGAGATCATAATACTTCTGCAGGAAAATTATTTTGAGCCGCTTTGTTGACTAGCTATGGTAAAGTGTGCTTTCGAATGATTTTATCCTGCTCTTTGGAATCAGAATATTACAAAATGCTTCAGAGTGGAATTGTTGAGGGAGAACCTAATTTTTTGCTGATCAGCTCATTTAATGCCTCGATTTTTGCCGTTTTTTTTTGTTCATCCATTTGTTCGTAGTCAGAGCTTGCTTTGGATCTTGCAGTTTCAAAAGAATTAGGAGAACTTGGAGACGATGACAAGCGTTCACTTTTGCTTTCAGGTTTATTTATTTTTCTGAAATTTGTTTGCAATTCTCTCACTTTCAATTCATCATCTAGCATAACATATGATTCAATTCGTTTTTTTGTCGTAATTATAGAAATTAATCAACAGAGTATTCGTATTGGTGCAAGCTTACAACGTAGTAATTCGTATGCATTGAACAACATCCAAGTCTTCAGCTCTCGAATCATCCCAGATCTTCCTGCGGTCTTTGTCAGTTTCTTTAGCCTTCATTGCTTGAACTATGAAGCGATGTTTCGTGCGATACCTCTTCATATCAACATTCGTTACATTGACCTAAAAGCAGCAATATCACTTCAAAAAATCAAGTCAATTTTATGTATTACAAAAAAAGTATTTTTATACGTAACATACGTTTACACTTTCGTTCAATATCAAAAAACCCGTTGCTGGCGTTACAATATATTTTGTTGGAGCGTTCGTACGAACCCGAAATGCTATACGTGAAGGACTAATGTTTCTGAATCATATAACCAGTTAAAACTATAATCTATCAATATTATTGATGTAATTAATTTTTACGCATCAATAGAGACATCATCAAACAAGTTGCAAGCTGAAAAACCAAGATTTTATTATCCGATTTAGAATATTATTGCTATCGTCCTGAATTGTTGTGATAGAGCATATGTTACAGATGAATTTTAGTTCGAATCGATTAGGTTTGATCTAATTTTATTTCTAATCAAAACTGATTCGATATCAAAAATGATAAATTCAATCGAGCAAAAATTAGTAAATTAACATTATGCGCATTCTAGTACTGCTTGTTCCGAATTTGTCCTCGAAAGCTACACATTTTGGTTCAACCTTTACGTAAACCGACGATGAACGGAAATTAGTGGAAGAAGCTGGAGAAGGTGCTGAAAGCTTATGTAAATTATCGGATGAGAAACTATAAAGTGAGAAGCATTAAAAAAAACAATGTGCTTTGATAATCAATAACAAAGTAGTGTTAGCATCTGTGAAGTTAAAGCGTGCTCATTTACTCGTAATATTCTGGTAATTTCACGATTCATGTGTATATAACATAGATATATGTAATAAATAAAATGTGGAGGTTAGTTTTAATTTTTGTTTTATTGGTTCTGACGCTGGATCGCATTCTGACCCTCTAAATGTACCTGTACCGCACTCAGATTTGTTGAACTTATCGTTTTCGCTTCGTTCTCGTGGAATCCATATCGATTGTCAAAAGAAATGTTTTCAAGCGTCTTCTTGAAGGAGCTGAGCGGTTGGCTCCGAGGTTGGCTCTTATTGGCTGTGTTCAACGAACATAAAATCAAGGCCAAAGGGAAAAAGTCCGCATCTGGAACCATAAATGAAAATAATGCAAAGACAGATGCGCTTTGGAAAAGCTATGTGAAGAGTGTAAAAGAACGTACTACTGCCAATGTGCCGGAACCCGGTGCGAGCAGGATGATCACGCCGCTTGAAACAATTGTCCGTGTAACTCCACGAACCAAGTGGCCGAGAGAAGTGCTAAAAGCGGTCCTTGACTGATTTGGAAGAATGCCATTGTACAGTTCTTTGTATAGCGAGAAGATTTCGTGTGCTATTATTCTCGAAGAACTGAAGAAGCAAGCGAATTCTGTGATTCACCAGTATTGCAGGTCGTCCGTGCTCATAGAAACGGTTGTTGGAGGAGTACACGAAACGTGTCAACTTACAAAATATGCACTTCGAGGAAAATACGGTGCAGGAGTCTAAGGTTTATCTAGATGTGAAGGAAAAATATCTAGTGCTGATGCAATAGGCACAGGAACGTGAGATAAACAAGACAAAGTGGACGCGAAAAATAACATCAGAGAGCGTGGACTCGCTCATACTTAAAGCAGTAACCAAGCGGCGGGTGAATATGCTACACAGAATTTCCTCAAGTGAATGACTGATGTTGCAAGGCAACTTCAGGTAGCACAACAATGTTTTGAAGAGATGACGAGGAGAGAGAAGCGATCAGGGTGGAAAGCAAGCATAGAAAAGAAGATAAGCTTGTTGAGTTTCCATAAATCCCTCATAGAACGGACTGTAGCCGGTAAAAAGCTTGGAGGCAAAGATTTAAAACAGGCCAAGAAGTGTATTAGGGAGATGAATCTCATACTTGCTCTTAAGCGTGATTGTCATTAAGCGTTAAGCATATTGATAGACCGTGGGAGAGAGTTTACAAAAGTAAAATAAAAAGTTATGAAACCCA